TTCTTTCTTGGCCCCTGAATGTAGCCTTGTCTTCTGTATGGTTCCACAGTGGAGGGTCAAAAATGTACTTTGACTCCTTTATTACCCTGCTCTAGATCCTTCTGTGGCTCCTTGCTGACCTCAGGATGAAGCTCAAACCCTCTAATAGGACTTAAAGCCCTGTTCTATGTGGCCTCTGTCTAATTCTCAAGCCCCATTTGTCACCTTGAATCCTACTCCAGAGTAGCATGTAGGGAGCCCTCAGCTGCATTCAGCTCACCAAAATACCATTTTCTTCTTCCTGGACCTTTGGTCATATTTCTCCACTTAGAAAGCTCTTCCCTAGGAAAGTCTACTCCAGCTCCTAGTCTGGAAAGCACTTCCTGAAAGAAGGCAGCTTCAGCCATCGCACCACCAGGTCTGGGGAGGTGTCCCTCTGCTGTGCAGCCTTCCTCCCATGAATACATTGATGAAGCTAGAACATCCTTTCCTGCCTCTTGTGTATCTCTTTTACTCAAGTGGAAGGCTTAGACAGCCAGCCTGGTCACTGCTGCACACACAGTACTTGGGTATACCAGTTCAGATGCACATGTATACATGCATATGCCCAACACAGACAATGAATTAAAGCCTGAAAGCCTGAACCAACCCAGACCTTCCATCACTCTTCAACACAAGTCAGCTGCTGCTATGTCTCCCTTCCTTCTGCATCTCCTGCTCTTCCTCCTCCTCTTTTTCCTCGTCCTCGTCCTGTTCCACCTCCTCATTCCTGCATTCTTCTTTAATCTAGCCTTGGGTTGTACATCTCTTGGCCCACTGGTTTATTCTTTCTGCCCTTCTGTCATGTTGCTCTGTCCAGGCACCCTAAAGTTCCTCAGGTCAATTCAGTATTTTCCGGCACTTTTTAAGATCACTTCCCTTTTCTTTTTCTTTGAAACATCCATAACTTTTGCATATTTAATTCTTCAGATGTTGTTTAGTTCTTGCATCCCAGACTGAGCTAAGCCCCTGAAGCACTTTCAGGAACAGCCCAATTATCTCATCTCTCCTTTAATCCTTTCATTTCCATCACCACCCAGGAAGCAGTAAGAAATGGATTAAGAAGAGTATTCTCTGCCCAAACCTGCTTCTTTTCTTCCAGCTCTCCTCTTAGGCCGCAACTCTACATTCTCCCAGTTGCACAAGAGCCACATCTCAGAACCACCTTCCATTCTCTCTCTCCTATTTCCAGCAAGTCTTTAAGGTGGAATGAACCTTATTGAGGTGTCTCTCATGTCCAGCCTTTCATGGTCCCAATGCCACACCCAGAGTTTACCATATCTCTCTACCTAAGATTCCCTCCTGAGTGGTGCTACTGTCTCTAGTCTCATATTTATGTCCATGCTTATCCCCTACCCATCTGTCTATCCATTCATCATCCATCCATCCATCCATCCATCCATCCATCCATCCATCCATGCAATCATCCACCTACCCAATCATGTACCCACCCATTTTCCCATCTATCCATACATCCACTCTTTCATCCATCATCTATCCATCATCCATCCATTCATCTACCCACCTACATATCTACCTCATCATCCATTAATCCCTCAATCCAGCTATTCATCCACATATCTACCCCAACCATCCACCTACCCCAGTCACCCTCCATTGTTGCCCTCAGTGTTTTCCAAAACACTCATTGGCAGGGCTTTGTAAATAACCTCTGCAACCTCCCATTTTCCTGAACAGGCATTCTTAACTCTGACTACAGTGTGAAATCTGCTGTATTTTTAAAATACCCAGTATCAAGCTCTATCCAGGAGATTCTGACTTACTTAGTCGTGATGTTTTTATAAGCTCCTGGGGTGATTCTAATGTGCAAGACAGGCTCAGAACTATGTGGCCTAAAAGGTAGAATTCTAACTGCTTTGCCTGGCATCCCACAACCCCTGCAGTCACAACCCCTTTACCCTATCTTCCCAGCGTCATTTCCAACAATCCTCCTGAGTGAGATAACGCACTATTTCTCTCTCTCTCTCTCTCTCTCTCTCTCTCTCTCTCCCTCTCTCCCCCCTCCTCCCTTCTGACTGGAAGCCTCATGTTTATCCTTTAAGACTCAGCACAAATGTGACCTTGTTTCCACATTTGCTTTGTGGTAGCCATGTTGCTGGGTCCTGAGTACAGTGACTGCAACAGAAACACTTCCCTGTTCTCAAAGAGCTCCTAGTGTGATGAGAAGTGGAGACATAGAAACTAAAGGAAGAATGTACTGGGGAGCCTTCTGTAACTACAAAGAATTCCATGAGATTATCAGTTTATAAGGAGAAATGGTTTATGTTGGTTCACAGTCTTAGGGGTCCCAGTCTATAATTGGACTGACTGTTGCTTTTAGGTCTTGTGTATTTCTGTAGAAGGTAAATATCATGGCACGAGTGCATGGTGTACCAAAGCCACCAATCTCATGGCCAGGAAGAGGAAGAGGAAGTGAAAAAGAGGAAGAGGAAGGAGCTGGGGTCTCACTAGGGCATAATCCCAATGATCTAAAGACCTCACATCTCATAAAGATTCCTGTCTCCTAATAGCACCACACTGGGAACCAGATGTTTAACATGCAAGCCTTTGGGATATACTTAATGTCCAAATTTTAACATAGATGTTCTTAAACACAGGCTTCATCAGTATCCTCAGGGAGGGCTTGTTAAACCATGGGTGCTGGGCCAACCCCTGGTGTTTCTGTTTCTGTGGTCTGTGATGCTCCTGACAACTTGTATTTCCAGTAAGCTTCTAAGTGATGATGGTGCTGCTGATCCAAAGATGACATTTTGAGAACTAATGCCAAGCATGCGGTCAGGGGACTGCTGTATGGGGAGGCAGCCAGGAGGGGGGCATATGGTAGCACTTTCTAGGTGGCAGAAAGGGCATGTTTGCAGGTCCCAGTGGGAAAGAACATGAAAACAGAAGGGACTAGGGTGTAAGGCACGTGGGAAGGGCATGTCTGGACCTTGGGCAACTTCTCCACTGAATGGATGCTCTGGGTACATCTGTATTATAGACTCACACCATGCCGTTCCTTAATTTTGCCTCAACCTCTTGACAGTGAACCTTTTCAAAGGCAGAATCTGCATCACAGACAGCTTTGGGTGCACAAAGCCCACCCAGGCCCTACCATGCAACCAATGCACAGGGATTCCAGCTGTGGTTGAATTTTAGCAAACCAGATCTTTCTCTAGTACATCAGCAAAGAGGGATTCTGTTTACAGAGGCATGTCTTAAATGCTTTATCTTCTCAACATTTCCTTAGTAAAGATTCTCGCTCTGACATACCCATCTGGACAACCTCTATTTCCAACACATTCCCAAGTAAAGCCTGTGCTTCTGGGCCAGGGACCTTACTAAGAACTGGTACTGCCTCTAAATCAAATTCTCTTCTAAATTCCTGCCTCCCTGACAGATTTTCAGCCCATTTGGTGACAGAAAGAAAAATTCCTTGAAGTTAAATGGGCCCTGCTCTCCTGCCTTCTCAGACTCTAGGGGCTGGGAAGGGGAAGAATAGCCTGGCAGAACACAGGGCTGTCCCCCACAGCACTTCCATTTGGCCCTGGTAAGGTGGGCACGCTCATAGTGGGTATCAGCAGAGAGGCCTTCCTCAGAAACAGTGACCACAGAGGCTTCACTTCCTGAGTGTGTAACCTTGAGCGTGTAATCTCTTGAGGTGACTCCCAGAGTTCAGGACAGAGTGGAGCAAGGCAGGATTGGAGTTCCCTGGGGCTGACCACTCTCAGGTGGTGGGTGGGCCTTGCCCCTCACTTACTACCTTTCCAATACTTCTCTCCACACTAGAAAGCACAGTCAGAAAAAGACTCAGAGCCTGGAGAGATGGCTCAGTGGTTAAGAGTGCTTGCTCTTCCAGAGGACTTGAGTTCAATTTCCAGCTCACAGCCACATGGAACTCTTGTTCCAAGGGCAATAATACTTTCTGATCTCCAAGTGCACATGCACACAGGTACACACATATACATAATTTTAAAAAAGAAAGAAAAGAAAAAGACTCAGGGTTGGAGGACAAGAACTCCACCATAGATACTCCATGTTTCAAGATGGGGTCATTTATTGGGTCTGGGTTTGGAGTTTTACTTGCCCTTTCACTTTGCTTTTTGGAGAAAAGAGTATATATACCTTTTCCTGAGCCCCACAGAGGAGTCTTTGGTAAAGCACAGACAAGAGACAGATTTTCTATTGATACACAGGTCAGAGGTTCTCTGACTCCAGCTTACATCAGAATACCCAGGAGGACTTGTTAAAACTCAGATTCCAAGCCCAAGCCTAACCCCAACTTCTGATCCATGGGGCTGGAGAATGCATTTCTGACATGTTGGGGGGCTGCTGGTGCTGCTGGCCTGGGGCACACTGTGACATCCTCTGTTTTAGCATAATGCCTAGCTAGAGTCAGGCTGAGATTATATCAGTCACTGTATGACAAAGGCTTATTCATGTCTGTAGGTACTTAGCTTGTATTTTCCTTAGCCTTGCCTCCCCCTAGCCTAAACCCTTACAGAACCTGAGCCTGTCAGGCCATCTCTCACCAGCTCCATCTAGGGTGAGCACTAGTTTTCAGGAGGTCAGGAGCTCCCTGGGGAAGGATGAAAGTGTCAAGTGGCCAGTGGGGTTCCAAGGGTCAGTAAGAGACAAGTGAGGAGAGAGGAAGTGTGTTTTTGTTCTTTCCACTGTACAGTTCTAGAAGCCATCAAGTATTTAAAAGCAATCTGTCCAGTATTTCTTTGTCCCAGGGAGACAAATTCTTCCCAGAAGTGGGAGGGACAAGTGGCAAGTGCAGCATTCAAGGGGAATGAAGATGGCACAGGATGTAGAGTCAAAGACCTGAGTTCCAGCCCCAGCACTGTGCTGTACCCATGGACTATCACCTTCATTCTCCTGACCTGTTTCCACACTGTAGAAAGTATAAAAAGATTGACCTTGAAGGTTGCTGTGCAGGTGACAATGTGAAGCCAACCTGAGCTGTCTTGTTCCTACAGGAAGGACCAATATCTCCTCTCACCTGTGAACTGTTGGTACCTGGTACTGCATCAGACTCGGCGGGAGAGCCGAGACCACGCCACCCTCAATGACATCTTCATGAACAATGTCATTGTCCGCCTCTCCCAGATCAGTGAGGATGTCATCAGACTCTTCAAAAAGGTGGGTAAGCCAGCTCCCTCTCTGCCCCAGGTCTCTTTCCCAAACAGACCAGAACAACATTATGTCATTAGGGTAGGATGTAGTTTGGGACAAGTGACCAGAAAGTCAAGTGTTAGATGATACAGGGTCCTGAGGACTACACTTGACACACCAGCCTCAGCTTGAAACCTGTCTTTAATTTATTTTATTTTATGTGTATGAATATTCTGCTTGCATGTATGTAAGTGCACCCATGTTGCGCATTGCCCACACAGACCAGAAGAGGGTGTCGGATGCCATGTGGGTGCTGGAAACTGAACCTGGGTCCTCTACAAGAGCAGCCAGTGCTCTTAAGTGCTAAGCCATCTCTCCAGCCCTGGATGTGCCATTTGAAGACTGTGTTCGCTACCACTTTAGCAGCTCCCATCACAAGAATAAAAACTTTTACATGGTTAGGTGTATAGTACACATGTATTGTGGGGAAAATAAAGGTGACCATGTATACAAAAATTAAAATCAACAGAAGTATTATCACTCTATTGCTTTGGAGTTCTACAAATCTCTTTACATATACCTATATAAATACATTTTCTATGCATGTTTATAACGTGTATGTTTTCTAGTATGCATATGCATTTTCCCCAAATGAGATCATACTGCACATATGATATTACTGCCTGCTTGTGTCATCTAACAAAGTTATGTAATGCTCTTTTACGAAAGTTTCCCACACGGAAAATTTATTTCTATGTTTTGAATGATGACATAGCATTTCAGTCTATAGATGCACCCTAATCTATGTACCAGATCTTTTATTGCTGAATGTTGGGGTAGTTTCCATTATTTCACTCATAAATATCACCTCCATGAACTTCTCCATCATATATATCTACTGTTACATAGGGTCAGTTTCCATAATGGGAATCTTAGGGCAAAAGTGGGTTTACTTTCAAGGCTTTGGGGAAATGCCCCACTGCTATAAGAAAGGTTTTATCCATGGAAATGTCCAGGAGCCTGGGTTGGAGGGACCTGTGGCTTTTTATGTCCCCTGAGCTCTCTTTGTCCCAAGCTCCTTGTGCAGTGGAGGTACTGTGCAAATATGTATAGAACTGAACTCATTCTAGTGAACACCAGTTTCCTCATCTGTAAAATGGGTGTATCATATAGCCGCATCTTGTCTAGTGAGCAGAGCTGAAATCAACTGCTTCTCAAGGGCCATGAGAAACTTGAACAAACTGCTCCTAGAAAAGAGGGACCTTAGTGGGAGGCTAGATTTCTTAAGCTTTTGGGTTCATAATTGAAGCATCATTGTCTGTGAGCTGTTTTTGGGCTTGTGACTTAAACTTGTGCCTCAGTGTTGCACTTGTGAAATGCTCACAGATGGTCCCAGCCAGTGTTAGATGGGGTTGAGTCATTCTCATGTGGTCTATGTATCTTTGGGCTTATGACTTAAATTCCCCCAAGCTTCGGTTTTCTCACTTGTGAAATGTGGTGGAAGCATCCTGAGCAGAGTGGGCAGCACGGGCAGCCCCTAGTGCTCTGGGAAGGCTGGTTGTGTGTAATCCCAGGACAGTATCAGTCACCACAGAGTGTAGCTCAGCTCTTCTTGCCAGGTGCTAACTTAGGGATCTGGTAACCTGGGATTGGTGGACACCCAAGGAAGGGGACAAGTTGACTTAAAATAGAATCATCCTTCACAGTCTGGGCTTGGATTGTCCATTTTGAGGATCTCTTCTCCAGCAAAACTGCAGTCACAGCCTTACTTCCTCCCACCACACAATACACTTCTGGTCTTCTCTTGAGGCTGTGTTTATGAAATGTGGTCTAAGTTTAATGCTAGCATAAGCAAACATAATTAGGAAGGTAAATACAATGAAAAAAAATCACACAGTGCTTTGCAAAGGCCAGCTGAAGAGCTTTAGCTGACGCCTGTTTGGAGTGCTGCTCCTGTTACAGCCCCTCCCCACTGTTGCTGTCAGAGCCTTTTTCCTAGGTGGGAATGACTCAGAGAGAAGGGTCTTCAAGGCCTTTAGGAAATGAAGCCTCTTTTTTTTTTTTTTCCTGAGCTGAGCCCTGGGACAAGTGAGATAAATCTTTTCAGTTCTCATTTAGGCTGACAGCAGCCTGACTTGTGATGGAGGTTAACAGGGTGGAAAATAATGAAAAAATATCCACAGCTGAGCTCCTGGCTGCCTTGTTACCAGGCCTGTCCTGTAGAACAAAGGAACAGACCCAGCCCCTGTGGGCTGGAAGAGCGCCAGGGCTGATTTAGCACAGTGAGGTCCCTTTGTGTTGCCCCTGTTATCCATAACTCAGAGCGGAGGCCTGTGCTCCTTATATAAGAGAGTTCTTGCAGCTCTCCCAACCATTGTGAGGCTGAACACTAAACAGGCTTGGGGCAGATGCATCCCATTTATTTATTTATTATTACTGTTTAAATGTTTTTATTTATTTATTTATTTATTTATATTTTATGGCTATGAGTGTTTTGCCTGCACGTAAGTGTACCACATGTCATACAGTGCCCAGAAAGGTGAGAAGAAAGCATTGCATCTCCTGGAACTGGAGTTACATATAGTTATGAACCACCATGTGGGTGCTGGGAACCAAACCCGGGTCTTCTGCCAGAACAGCCAGTGCTCTTAACTACTGAGTCATCTCTTCAGCCACCTCAACTCATTTTAGACAGATGGGAGAAAGTCTTGGGTAGCTTCAAGGACAGCCAAAATGTGGTGGCTTTAGCCCCTTATCACCAGTGTGGCTCTGCATTAGAGTTTGTCCTGAACTGCCTGGCTGACCACCCTGGTGAGTCTCTGAGCCTTGTTTTTCTCATGGGAAGTGGTGGTATATAATGCCTATCTATAAGGGACTGCTTGGGAGAGCAGAGGCAGATCATCAAGTGTCTGCCACAGGTGTTGCACTCAGTGGGTACTCATGAAGTGGAAGTTCACTAGTGGTCCCTGAAGATGGAAGCCCTCCCTGTGCCTGAGGTGGGGTTCCGGTGCTTGGTGGGGTGTTGTTCTGGCGGTAGAGCTGTGGGAGAGCGGGAGTGCTTCCTATGCTTACTTTCTTTTTCACTTGGCCTGGGGTAGCTGCCCTACCTGCCATCTCCTCACAGATCAGTATGCTGCTACCTTTTCATGATTCTCTGGCCCTGTTCTCAGGACTACTGGTAGCACTGCGAATTCCAAAAGCCCCACTGGGCCTGGAGGTACAGGTCTGTCATCCCAGCTACTCAGGAGACTGCGTTCTCATAAGTTGATCTTAAGTTCAAAGCCTGTTCAGGCTACAAAGTAAATTCAAGGCCAGTCTGGTCAGCTGAGTGAGACCCTATCTCAAAATAAAATAGAAAGAAGGGCTAGGGTTGTAGCTCATGGTTGAACACTTGACTGGCATATGTCACTATCCCTGGGTTCAATCCCCAGTATGAGGGGAAAAAGAAATTTCAGAAGCTCATGCAGGTGGGCTGGTGTTAAGGGTGGTAGGTTTGGGTTAGATAGAACAAAGTAGAACTGAATGAGGTCTTAGAGGCCGTCTGAAATAATCCGGTCCCATGATTGTAGACAATAGACGTACAGCTCAACTGGCTTGAAGGAAACAAGGAAGCTTTTCAGCTCTTCCACGATGACTTTGGTTTCATGCATAGGTGGTTTATAGGGGCACAAAGGTTATTATCAGAAAATAGTCTCTCTGTGGAGTGGTTCCATTTTCCTGTTTCCTCCCATTTGGGAGGGGGCTGATGAGAGACCTTTTCCTAGTTGGTTTGTGCCTAGGTCATGACCAGATGGCTTCCAGCATCTTCTTCTAGGCTCTGATGGGCCCAGGACAGGTCATGTGATCACCCTTGACACTACTACATCTATGGCCATGGAGCCTGTGGTACCTTGAATGACCAGGCCTTGGAAAGATGCCCACCCTTGGAGCAAGATGTGCTTACTTCTCCTGATCCACAGGGTTGAAGATGGGTGAGAGATATTTCCCCAAGAAAAGTTGGGGTTCCCTTATGAGAAGGAAGAGAGAAAACAGTAGATGGCCACTGGGCTCTCTGTTGCAGTCACTTTGTTGTCCTCCACTAGATAGCCCTCAGCAAAGCATGCTCATTATCTCTCAGGATTGGTTGTTCTATCTGGGAACAGCTATGATCCATAGACCTTCAAAGCTGCAGTGAAATATGATCAGGTTTCCACTCACAGGTTATGGTCATACTCTTGAGGACCACAAAGATCCAGTTAACTTAGAAACCTGTTCATTGCTTTGAAGACAAAAATCAAAACCAGCCACCCAAGTCTTTGCTGCCTGGAAACAAATACTTCAGTTTACTTGGACCTTCTCCATTGCAGTCTGCCCCCCACCCCCACCGCCGACCCCTCAAGTTGCTCAGCCTGCGGAGTTTTCTCTGACCAGTAGAAGTTCATGTTATGAGGAAGTCAGGAGGAAGTTCTAACCAGCTCAGAGTGGAGCAGAGCTATCTCAACAGCTCAACTCCAACATCAACAGGACATTTCTGGTGGTGTCTGAGCTCATGGTTAACAGAATGATATCTCAGCTGAAAAATCCAGAGATTTTTGTAACAATTATTTTTAAATCTAGCCTGAATTCCACATTTGTTTCTTTTATTTACCCCTTTCAAAATGTGAACTTATTAGATTCTGATGAAATGACATCCGTATCCATATGTCAGTGATTTTTCAGACAGCAAGAGGGTAGCTTTCCCAAGAAGCATGATTTTATCCTCTGCAGGTCTTCTTTGTCTATGTTAGCATCTTCTAGTGACAGTTCTTTTGCTTTTCTACCTTCTCAGTTGAGATGTAGAAAGCAGGCAGTGAGGCTTGAGAATGAGTTAACAGTGGGGGGCAACTCTGGAGTTGGGTGTTGCAGGGTGACTAAGAGTCTGCCAAGTGGGGAAAGGAGGTTGGGGATTCTGGAGCAAGGTAAGAGCTCAGTGGACAGAGCTCAGCGGATGGAGCATTTCGAGATGGAGGACAGAGGTAAGTCAGAAGCAAGGTTACAAAACAGCAGCC